AAATAAAGAAGTATTAATTAGTATATTCTTTGACATTGTTGGTACATTTAATAACGTTAATCTTCATGTCCTCGCCGCAGAGTTGAGGTCTTTGGTCATAACTGTGTTTATGTTAGGGGACTACAACGCGCACCCTGGTGAGTCTTTTGACACAGAACTATTGTCGTTTTGCACTGAACAGTTATGGACGTGTGTAGACAGAGACTTGTTACCATCGGATGCCTATACTTTTGTGAGCGACGCACACGGTAGTTTAAGATGGCTGGACCATGTTGTGGTCACGACCGCGGCGAGGCCCACTGTACTTTCTGCATGTGTTCTTTACGACACGTACTGGTCCGATTACTTACCTGTATTGATAGAGTGTAATTTCAATGCTGTAATACCAAAATTACCGCAGTCAAATAACTATATTAATAAAATCATATGGGGAGAGCGTGATAATGATCAAATTGATGAATATTATAATGAATGTAACTCCAGGTTAAAATTAATAGATTTTCCAGCAGAATTTTCGGAATGTTGCGATAATATGTGTAGTAACCATCAACACAAAATAATGCTTGACAGATTGTATGAACGAATTGTGTGTATACTTTCAGAGGCCGCTGTCTGTAGCTATAGTGTTAGGACAGGGCGAAAAGGTAAATACTTACCTGGTTGGAACAAACACGTTCGCGAGGCGCATGGGAGGGCTCGACTTTGTTTTCAAAGTTGGTCACTACATGGCAGACCCGGCTCTGGTCACGTATATAATGAAATGTGTGAATCAAGACGCATTTTTAAAGCAAAATTAAAATGGTGCCAAAATAATCAGACACAAATAAAAATGGACATAATAGCTGAACACCACAAAAGAAAGAACTTCGGTCAGTTTTGGAAAGCCACCAATAAAATGAATCATAAGTCGAGCCTTCCCGTGCGTGTTTCAGGAGCTTATGATCATAGTGATATTGCTAATGTTTTCAAAGAATATTTTAGAGAGGAATCACCACTGGGACCGGCAGAGCCGCCGATGCCTGATGCTGGAGCAGGTCGTCCTAAGCGTAGTGTATTTTTTAGCGCTAGAGATGTAGCTAAAGTCATTAAGTGCATGGTGAGAGGCAAGTCGCCTGGGCATGACCATCTCAGCATCGAACACCTGCAGCATGCTGGAGTTCATTTGCCAAGGGTTTTGTCTTTGTTATTTAATTTGTGTATTGGGCATTCATATCTCCCTGACAAATTGGTGCGAACTATTGTTATTCCTATACCAAAAAACAGGACCGGTGACGCCTCTGATGTGTCCAACTATAGGCCCATCTCCCTTGCTTCTGTAATTGCTAAGGTACTGGACAGTTTGCTTAACGGGTGTCTGGATAAGCACATTTTGCTTAATGATGCTCAATTCGGCTTTAGATCAGGTCTTTCCACCGAGAGTGCTATCCTGTGTCTCAAGCAGACTGTCCAGTATTACACAGCAAGGAAGACACCTGTGTTTGTATGTTACCTGGATTTATCAAAGGCGTTTGACCTAGTAGCTTACGAAAGCCTGTGGGACAAGATGAGATCTGAGACTAGCCTGCCCGAAGAAGTTATATTGCTCTTTCAGCACTGGTATAGCAACCAAAAGAACAATGTCAGATGGGCAGGCTCGCTCTCAGAAGAATACAGATTGGAATGTGGCGTGAGGCAGGGTGGTCTAAGCTCTCCAACGCTCTTTAACTTATATATGAATAGGCTCCTTGATGAGCTCAGCAGTACCGGTATCGGTTGCCACATAGACGGAGTTTGTGTTAATAACATAAGTTATGCAGATGATATGGTGCTGCTGAGTCCATCAAGTGCAGCCTTAAAGAAATTGTTAACCATATGCGAGTCTTACGCTGTGGCCCAGGGGCTCAAATACAATGCTGTCAAGAGCGAATTCATGGTTTTCAATCCGGACCACAAGCGATACACTAATGTGCCAGTTTTCAAGCTCTGTGGAACCCCCTTGAAAAAAGTTGAGGCTTTTAAGTACCTGGGTCACTGGATCACGGAAGACTTAAAAGACAACCTAGATATTGAGAGGGAGCGGAGGTCATTGTCTGTCCGTTGTAATATGTTGGCCCGCAGATTTGCTAAATGTACTGACGAAGCAAAGATTACGCTTTTTAAAGCCTACTGTCAGTCATTTTATACGTGCAGTCTGTGGGTTAGCTTTACGCAGAGGACATACAATGATCTTCGCGTACAATATAATAACGCGTTCCGGGTATTGATGGGGCTGCCGCGTTTCTGTAGCGCTTCTGCTATGTTTGCGGATGCTCATGTAGATGGTTTCGCCGCCATAATGCGTAAACGTTGCGCTTCACACCTCAGGCGCGTTCGCGACAGCCCCAACAGTATCTTGCGCGCGTTGGCAGACCGTTGGGACTCGCCGATGTTTGCTCGATGGATGCGGCTGCACGCAGTCAAGTAGTCATCTTGCTGGCAGCGGCTGGTGCCATGTTTATTTGTATGTGTGTCTTGACTGTTTGTCTGTGTCTGTGTTTTATGTTGAATTGTTAAATTACTAACTTTAGTTATAAGCTCAATTGTTACTAACCAATATGGATCATGATGTCCGAAATAAACGTTTATTATTATTATTATTATTATTTGGCCATTCCTGAAAAAATTGTAAAATGGATATTTAACTTTTTACATGAAAGAAGAGTTTTTGCTAAAGTTAATAATAATAATACAATTATTGGTCCTAGGCTCAGTTATAAAGGTGTTTGTCAAGGAGGAATATTAAGTCCTCTTATCTTTATTTTATACATATTTAAATTAAACAATATTTTAGGATCAAATGTTACTAATTTACAATATGCAGATGATTTGGTCATATATGCCTCAAGAACAGTTGTCAAAAACTTGTTAACCACTTTAAATGAGGCTTTAAAGAAATTGCACATTTACTTTTCATTTTTAAATTTAGATATTAGTACTGAGAAAAGTAAAGTCGTAATATTTAATAAAATTCGTCCATTTAACACTAGAATAATTTATAATAATACATTTTTACCAATAGAAAGTTGTGCAAAATTCTTAGGTGTAATTTTTACAAATAATTTATCGTGGACCAAATACGTGAATTCTATTTCAGACAGAGCTTCTAAGGCCTTTAATATATTAAAAGCTTTGGCTAGTACTAACTGGGGAGCTGATCCAGAAATATTATTAATGCTATATAAGTCTTTGGTGAGGAGCCATTTTGAGTACGGCTTTCTTTGTTTTGCATCAAATAAAAAACTAGTAAACAAATTAGAAAATATACAAAATAAGAATTTAAGACTTATTAGCGGCTCTATGAGAACAACTCCTATTGTTTCTTTACAGGCTGAATGTCTTACTCATCCTATCTTACTTAGGTTTAAATATCTGAAATTTAGGTTTTTATTAAATATTAATTCTTTGTCTCGTCATCCTCTTTTTCAAAAAGTATTATTTTACTATAATAGTATGTCTTCTATATCTAACTCAGCCCCATATATACTCCATGACTTTCATGAAGTGATACGATATGATGAACAATATAATATTCACAAAAGCACACATACATGGCCTTGTTATAAGGGGAATTATGAAAGTAAATTCAGTGATATACACATAAATATTAATGAAAAATTGAAAAGAAAAGAAGAGGTTTATGAACTTATATCTACATATGATGAATATCGACAAATTTACACAGATGGTTCAAAAGTTGAAAATAAAGTAGCCTGTGCATTTTACATGCCTCATCTGAAAACTGGACGTGGCCTTTCCATTCCTGCATTAGCAAGCATATACACCGCAGAATGTTATGCTGTCTTAATCGCTCTTAAATATATAGAAGAACACCCACATGTATCTAATAAATGGTTACTGATCTCTGATAGCATGAGTGTCTTGAAGGCACTGAAGGCAAGAGCTTTAGATGCTAAAACGTCTTTCATCATATATGAAATCAAAAGTTTGTGGTGGAAATTGAAAGAAAATAATTTGGAAGTAAAATTTTTATAGACTCCGTCACATATTGGGGTTCAAGGAAATGAAAGAGCAGATCATTTAGCTAAAAGTATAGTTACAGCTGATATTGACAGGATAACCGATGTTGCAATACCACATACAGATTTATATTCAATTTTAAAGCAATAGTTAAAATAAGAATGGAAAATGCAATGGAATGCTGTTTTAGAGGCAGGAAAAGGTCGTTGGTATGCATCAATTAATTCAGAATTAAGTATTCCTTGCTTTTCTCGCAACGATATGCGAAGATATCATAGCAGAAAATTTTATACAATAATGTGCAGACTTAGATTTGGCCACTATTGATTGAACGCTCATCTTTCCAGGATGAGAATAGTAGCATCTGCAACATGCAATTTCTGCGATACAGAAGCAGATCAGACTGCAGAACATATAATATTTAACTGCCCAGCGTACGCCATAGAAAAATCGCTACTCATTGAAAAACTTATACAAATTTATGAAAACTCAGAAAGCGCCCGGCGTGCCCTGCAAGATGTTCTTAGGAGTACTAAGACATATTTAGCACTTTGCAATTTTATTCATAATACTGTTAAAGAAATATGAAATATGGTATCCCTGTTTTTGAAAATATTGGATTGACAAATCTACATGGATTGAAACTTACTAAGAGTATAATATAAAGAAGACTTGGCTTTAGCCTTTACGGGTTTTTGAAAATATGAAGAATTAAAGAAAATAAGAGTTGACTACGGCCTTTATGGATTTTGAAGAGATGGAAAGAAGAAAAATAAGAGCTGGTTCCGGCCTTTACACTCTAAAATTCTATATTATATTCAAAATAAAAAAGACAAGGCTGTATGGCTTAGTTCCTTTGTAGGCTGTCTCGAGCGAATAATAAAAACAACAACAACAACAACAACATTGACATATTGACATGACAATTGACATTTGCCATGCTTTTACAAATTGTTTATTTTGATTTTACGCAAAGTTGAATTAGTGTTAATTTTGTACTAGCAATGGAGGTAGATAAACCAATAAATACCGACTGCATTGAGGATGATACCGATTGTACTGATAGTGGCTTAGGTATCTCTGTTGATATTACATCAAATGATAATACTTTACACGAATTACCGGCGTTGTTCAGCAGTAAAACATTGCTGGAACTTTGCTGTTCATCCTGGTCGCAATCCGCAAATGCTAAGGTTGATGTTCAACCGTATTTGCGTGGTTGTAAGTGGTCTCCAGATGGGACGTGTTGCATGTCAGTAGTTAATAATGACGGGGTACATATTACTGAGCTTCCACGCGATCTCTACTCTGGTTCAGTTGATTCTAGCCGTACTATTGATGTTCTAGACTCGGTTATTCATGTTAAGGAATCTGGACTGATTTACGACTTTTGTTGGTACCCAGGAATGAACAGTAGCATTCCTGAAACATGTTGGTAAGTTTTTGGCATACATTTCATACATGATAGAATGTACCTATTAATGCATAAAGTTTATATAGGATGTACTAATTAGTGTATGGTGGAGGTAAAATACAATCCAATTACTTTATTTCTTAGATGATACTCATTAGTCATTTCTGTGATGTATTTTTTCTTTAGACAAGCATCTTCAAGAACACATTTTTCAACTTTTTTGACAATGTCTGAGGAAGTTGCCACAATAGGTTGGCCTGAGCATTGATTGTCTTCACTTGAGTCTCTGTCTTGCTTGAAAAGGCTATGCTACTTAGTCTTTCTATGGCAAGAATCCCCATAAACAGTTTACATCTCTTCCATAATGATATGTGGCATTTTTCCTTGCTTATGAGGAACTTGATCATGGCATGAAACTCAATTTTGTTAGTGTTCACTTCCCTATTGACTGGTTTATCATGTAATATCTCAAAGGTTAATGAACCAATTTTGCTGAAACTTGGTATTTATAATTATATTCAGGCATCAAGTTGTGAAAAAATCGTCTCTCTCCTCTACTATATATAATTAGGGAATCTATGAGAAGCCTCTTTTCAGCAGTGGAATTTGAAAGGCTGTAATGAACGATTGAATGAATAAATGAATGAATGAATGAACATAGAATATCAAATAATAATCAAAGATATATAACACTGCCTTTGCTGTTAAATGTGATTAACATATATCTGGTTAGTGAGGTACTTCAAGCATCCATGGTCAGTCGGGTATATAATCATTTATGTAATCATAGTTTACCACATTATAATTTAAGCAAAGAAAGTTATGAGTGTTGATAAGTTTTATTGTAATTTTCAGTTGGCTAACAACCAGGCAAAACGCTCCTGTACAAATGTGGGATGCATTTGATGGGTCATTAAGATGTTCTTACAGAGGATTTAATGCAGTGGATGAAATGGAGCCAGCCTTATCAGTAACTTTTAATATTGAAGGAACTAGAATCATAGCTGGATACAAAAAGGTGTTAAGAACATTTGATGTAGATAGGTAACAATAATAATCAGGTTACTTGATTAATTAAAAAAAAATATTAATTTATATTTTCTTTATTTTTTTTTGATTCAGATTTTATTAAAAATGTATCAATCTATAACATGTTTTATAAGTGTCCCTAATATGCTTCTAAAAATTTGAAATATAAAATATAAAAATAAATGGCAAATGATTTATATAATATGATAATTTTTAACCACAAATGCAGCATAATAAAAATATAATACATGATAAAAGTTTCATTTTATAGCTAATAAATGTAACATTCCATATTTTTAGACATGTAGAGCCTAAATTCTAGTGTAATAAATCAAAATAATATTTTCTTTCAAGTAAAACTGCTTTGAAATTGCACCATCTACTTCATTTTATAGATAAACTCATTTTATCAAACAAAAATTGAGTTACTCTTAAGGCGATACGTAAAATAGACACCAAGTGGCCTAAACACAACTGATTTAATATAATATTCTATCTCATTCTCTTGCAGGCTAAATCCTATAGATGTAACTGTTTGTCTCTTTTAGTGTCGCCTTTAAAGAAGTTTTCACTTCAAAAGAAGAATACTGATATCATGAGCCACATATGATACATTGCTATTGTCTTACTATTGTGCCTGAAACCGGACAGTGAATGTATTAAGCCTACTTACCCTAAATCAACATGTTACAACAAGGATGCACATGTTACAGTTAATACTTCCCTTACAGGCCAGGTAGAGATTTTGCTGAACATAAAATTAATTCCCCTGCATCATGTTTTGCTATGAATAGTAATCTCCTTGCTGTTGGTTCCTGGAATACAACTATAAGTCTTTTCAATGTAAATGAGTTGGGAAATTACAAGAGTATAGGGAAAATGCATGGTCACTCAGGTAAAACTGTTTTTCTTAAACTTGTTAACAACATGTTAAAATATGTGTGAAAAATAAGGTTACAGTCTGCCTAACTGCTTACTATGCAGCTGCTAAGTGTTTTGCAAGTTACTTTAAATAAATTTTAGGAGGCCATCTGCGTAGGTACCACCTTCTTGCCTATTTTTGCTGCCAAATAACAGTTCCTGCGATGCAATGTTCCAGTCTGGTGGGCACGAAGAGCTAGTATAATTACAACCTGTGAGGCATTCCATCTTAGTCCTCAGACTAGTGGCAATACATTTGTAGTCACTTTTTTTTGAGTTGGTTGCAGGTGTCTATGGCCTGCAGTAGCCACTTACCATCAGGTGTACTGTGTGTTCGTTTTACACTTCAGTTTTATAAATAATTTAAATATAAAAATTTTGTACAACCGACTTCAACATAAATTATTAAGAATAACTCAAAAAATATTGGTCAAACCTTGATCAAATTTATATGGGACCACATGAGAAGTACCAGCTTCCAAATAAAAAAAGAATCATCGAAATTGGTTCACGCGGAAAAAAGTTATGAGGTATAATACATATAAAAAAAGAACATACTGTCGAATTGAGTACCTCCTCATTTTTGAAGTCAGTAGAAAAAAGGGAGTAGATGTATTATCAACCTGTGTGTCATTGTAACGGTTCTTTACCTGTCAAAACGAAATGTGAATTTATTAATGCTAAACCATTTGAGTTCTGATCAATATCTTAAGTTTTTAAATATAATTCTTCTCTGTACTACATCTTAGCATCAGAAGATATTATATGGAAAATATTTTTTTTGCTTAGTTCCTCAAAGTCGGTTTTTACTTTCTATTAAAAGTTTTATTTTCGAAGAAAAAGTTATAGTTTTATTTTGTGTGTTGTGTCTTTCTTGGTTACAGTGTCATAAGAATCAACATAAATACTGACTCCTTTCTAACCTCTGTCTATTGTGTAATTAATGTAGTTTTGCAATAAGACCTCGGAAGTAAGCAAGCTGATGCAAGCAATGACTAAACTACATTCTTGTCTATAATAATCCAACACTTCCTCATTTCAGGTGGTGTCACTCACATGAAATTTACCCCTGATGGAATAAGATTGGTGTCGGGAGCGCGAAAAGATCATAGACTGCTTATTTGGGATATAAGATATTATCGCAGGCCCCTTAACATTTTAAGTAGAGCTGTTGACACTAACCAACGGATATACTTTGATATATCTCCTTGTGGCAAATATCTGGTCTCTGGTGGCACCGATGGTATGCTAAAAGTGTGGGATGCTAATAAAGTAAATTGGCATTCTAGTTTAGATGTCACAGATGTAGATAAAGACAATGTAACATACAAAGTAAGTAAACATTTTTGTGTTGACCTTTTGAAGTAATCATATTCGCCGTAGATTGCCTCAGGTGGGTTGGCAACCACAATTTATAATTATTCTGAGTTATCAGGAAGATGTTGCTGCTCACAACACTCATGGGATGATATAGAGTAGTAACTTCTCTTACACCGCCACTATACAATTTAAAATGATATGCCGGGTGTTTGTGAAACGCTCCCGAAAACGAAGACAGACGATAGTAATAACTATTGCCTTTGATAATGAGTGAGAAATAAAATCAATCCTGATGAAAAAAAAAATCATCTTTTCACAACGTTTTATTTGCTTTATTCACGCTCCATCATATTAGTAGAGCTAAATAAAACGATAATTTCATTAAAAAAATCATGAAAATATTTAAACATTAAACCAGCAGTGGAATTTAAAATAAATAAATCATAAAATCAGCTGACTAGGGTCAATATCCGCTTGGAAGCCAAACTCTTTTATCTAGCTCGGTACAGGTCCCGTCACGTAAAAAGAACGCTGAGCGACAGTGGAGGGGTGTGTCTGCGCATGGGTACAGTCGCGTTACAAAGTACTACATGGTACTAGGCTATTATCTATACAATTAAATAAAATTGAAGTGTCTGTTTGTAAATGTCACAAGGAGTAACTTAGGCTACTTTTATTTTAGAAAAAGAATTAGGGTTCCGCGCAAAAAAATTAAAACCCCAAATAACGTGTGGGCGAAGTCGCGGGGAACAGCTAGTTTTATAATATAATAGTAATTAATTGTTTTATTGTAGAATCATAATAGGTACTTTACTAGCTACTTAGAACTTTAGAAGAGGTTGGAATTAAAAATGGATAATGTTTACTTGAGCATTATTTTTTATTTCTGTCGTAAAATATAAAGTACTTTGTAACAAGAAAACTTAAGCTAAGGGTGACTCGTCGTCCATTATATCGTCTTGGGTCACATGGAATCCAGATGTCGATGGTGTGTTGGTGTTATGTGTATGCTACTTCATCATCACTTTCATCTTCGCTTGAGCTTCCGTCATCAGAATCATTATCATCAATACGAATGATAAATGTTTCCGTCATCAGGTCGATCACATGGTATTTTTATCGGTATTCTTCCTCAATACTTTCAACTTTACTGCACAATTTTCCCCTATCACCTTCTCCCACCATATTTACCTTTTTGTTCACTAGTTCAGTCATAAAACAATAGATATAATTAATTTTTCTTACCTTCCTTTTTAAAACCATCGTCGCGCGTCGTGCCAAAGAAAGCTGTGTGCGCAACTGTATTTTAGGACCAAACAAAGCGCGGGAAGAATGAGGAACCAATAGCGTGCGCGCACAGTAATACTGGCGAGCATTCCCCCATCGTGCCCCCTTCGTACCACGCGCTCTCGCTGCCCGGCCGAACCGTGTCACCTCGCGTCTGTGTTGCCAAGATACGGGGAATCCCCCAAATTGCGGAGAATTTAAAGTTGCTTGGGGGTTTTATGGAAATCGATATTATGCGGGGAAAATGCGGGATTTATAAAATCGATATACTTATCTTAACATTTTTTGTTAGTAGTACCGAATAATATAACGTTATAACGGTATAACACCCTTATTAACAGGTTTCCGCTACTGTGTATGTTGACGGTACGGCTTCGATAAGTCGCCATTCCTAATCCCATTCTTTATCCGTACGGACTATAGTAGGTCGAAAGTGTCTTTGCCCCGTAGGTGTCGTAAGAATCGACTAAGGGAAATATCTTTTGACTAAAAAAATGGTGATACAATAACCTCTTTGCTAGGCGTAAATAATCGGACAGATAAAAAGAAAGCACGTTCAATTTCTAGAAGAAAGGTGCTAAGATAAAACTAGTGTCGAATCTGTCGTATTGCTTTAATTATAAACATGTCGGTTGATTGTTTGTCAACACATGTACGCACCCACAGATTCCTTTCATAGATCCTTTTCAGAGTTTTAATTGGAGCAACTTTTCAGGACTGAATATTGACTCACATTTCTTTACAGACTTCGGGGGACATGCTAAAGTGCCTGGCACGCTCTGAATAGAATAATATATAATAATGGCTCGTGAAGTGAGTAGTAGCAACAAATTTTCGTTCCATTGCTGGACATAGAGCTTCTCTCATGTCTGAGATGATTTCAAGTTAAGGAAAAATCCGTATCGCTGACCCAAATCTTCGTATACTTTACATGTACTCGAGATCTTTTTAATTTTTTTACATGTGGGTTTTCTCTAGGAAGTTTATAAACTAATCGATTTCCTCCCCACTGTAATGGAGGTAACATGACGTTTGGTCCGGCTGCTGTATAAAAGGTTGTGGAATGAGATAAAAAGCCTAATTTCATGATAATGTTTTCTTTCCAGTTCCCGCTCCACAAAGATTGCTGTAACAGCGTGTCAATACATCCATGTAGACCAATTTTGGCAACTGGATCTGGCCAGTATCACTTGAAGGACCCAGTTTCAACTGTTAGTGATGAAAATGAAACACAAATAGATGCTGACGAAGAAAACTATCGACAAGATCTAGTCACTGGAGGTGCTGTGATGAACAATTTAGATATGAAATATTCGAGCGAAGCCGAGAACAGTTTAGTATTCTGGTGGATTGGAGAAGTGGGAGATTTGACATAAAAATATTATTTTGATAGTTAAATAAATAAAAATGCTCTTTTGATCTGTTGCTTTTTATTTCGAAAAAAAAATATAAAAGGGACATTTTTTTTAGTGAAGTAAAGTCTACCTCATAGTACGAGGATGCTGTGACACCTACATCTATCCTCGAGTAAGAATCTATATACAGATGCGTTGCCACTCTGAGGACTAAGATGGAGTGCCTTGTTACCAGTAAAAAGGGATTCCGGTTTTCGCCATTCACTATACGAAAAAGCAGAATTATGCTGCTATTTGCGCTGGCACTCTGTGTGGGCGTGAACCTTTCTCGGTCGTAATATCTTGTAGCGTTGTCGTGCCATGTAAAAACAAAGGTTTTGTATCCAATTATACAATCTGGTGACACTGCTGATAGATAAATTGCTGTAGTTCCCGTTTACCTGGAAAGATCGAAGATTTCTGGAAATAATATTTAAAATCCCATTCATCCCAGAAACAACTTTGGTATGACAAATGATAAAAAAGATGAGCTTTCCTTTTATATAGCCATAGAATAGAAAACAATTTGATGACGTTGAAATTTGATAAATGTTTATACTAAATCAGATGTGATAAGTATACCTTCCTATTCTTTATATGAGCCAGGGCATCAGACATGAGCCCCTTCTACTGTAAGGACATCCTTGACAGGCGAATTGGCGACTGCAGTACGTCTTGCATCTTGCTTTTCGTCGCCAATCTGGGTCTTAGCGTTAACGAGATTAGATTGAGAAGATTGGAACGGGAAGCGTTCACAAGATTTCACACGAAACCTTTGCGTGTGGAACAGTTTCGCGTTGGGGCTGCACGAGCTCACTGATGCTTGGAAGCAGGCCCGCGTGGAATGGTGCCGTGACATGATTACTAAATTTCAAGCAGGCTCATCTTGTCATGTTTGGCGACATTATTGCAGGTGATGAATCTTAAATTTATCAAGAGAATCCAGAAACGAAGCGTCATTCGACAGATTGACAGTTTCAAAAACTATCTACCAAAGTAAAGCGATCGAGATCGAGAAGTGAAAATAAAATGAACCTTTGTTTAAGTAAAAATCTGCTTTCTTCAATTAAAGTATTTTTCCGCAAGAGCCTGTTCATTTATATACTTATATGAGCTATGAAACGAGGACTGTCACACATATTTTAATATGTCTGAAAATATGAAAGCTATCTTAAATTATAAACTGATTTATAAGTCTCATTAAAGACAAAAAGTAAAGTAGCAGCTAATATACGTCTCACTACTGTGCACAGGGCTCCTCATTACCTTTAGTGTTTTATGGGTAGAAAAATAGAGTATACTGCAATGCTTCAGTACATGTTAACGGTTTTCACATCTCCACGACTATTTTAATTACTCAGACATCTAGGCTTCCCCCCCCCCTCCCCCCGCTTAAGTCAGCACGTAAAATTTTCTATAACAGATTCATTCTCGAATCGTACACGTTTTGCCCCCATGCTATGTTGAAATCTTACTACGCGGCTCTCGTATTTGTTTTAATACAATTCATAAAAACTGAAACTAAGCTTTTGCATGATTGTTGACCACATTTACCTAATAAATACACATTCAACGATGCCACGAACGAATTTTCAATTATTTACATCGTTTCATCATTCAGTAGCATTCTATTATTTAATTTTATCAGTAACTTACCATTTTAGTTTATTTAGAAGTAAGTAGACGGTGCTATTAGTAGATGAAATAATGAAAAAGGAAAAAATAATGAAAGTAAAATAATGAAATATTACTGTCTAGTAATATCAGCGATAGAAGCGAACATTTATTTATTATATCACTAAGGCATAAAGTGACGAAAAAAGTAACGAAAAAATACGTTATCAGCGCCGCTAGTGGTGAAAAACGATTTAATGTGTGTAATGATAAGTGGGATATCGTCATATGACCATATCATGCAATAGTAACGTTGTGTTTAGTAGTTTATTTTCAAACAATTTCAATTCATTGATTTAGTCAAGATACATGGTCAACAAATAGTGTTAAATATCATGAAATGGCCACACAATTTCACGAAATGATCTATGTTATGATATATGATCAATTCTACGACCTGTCCACGACATAAATGAAAAGAAAATCTCTTTAATAAAATTTATGACAAAAATTTTGCAATAATTGCAGATAAACGAGTTTTAAACAGTTTACACATATAAATGTAAGTTATTTATATTATTTAATTTATTAGTAACAGAAGGCAAAATATAGGTACTACTTTTTCCATTTGTTGATAAATGGCGCTGTTTTGATAACTAAATCGATGTAGTTTCAAATTATTGTACCAAGATTATAACTATTATATTTTCAACTTTATTTATAAATATGGTATTTATTTGAAAAATACCCATCATCCCGCCTATAACTAAGATATAATAGAAAATTAAGATATGAAGTAAGGAAAATACTTAACCTTCTTTTTTTGCAATTCCGTAATCGGATAAAAAGTAGCCTATAAGTTGCTCCGGGTTACTAACTTCCTACATACATAATTTCATGTATATCGGTCGAATAGTTTTTGCGTGAATCCGGAATACACAGACAGACAGACAAAATTCTAAAAACCACTAATTAAGCTTCAGAAGCCTTTATTTGGTTCCCAGGACTTGTTTTTTCAAAAGTATATTAGAATTACAGACACGACTTCTACAGATTTATTATATGTATAAATTATGGCTTTAACTAGCCTGAATGACCTTGACGAAACGGCGATCGCAGAGATTTTAGCCGATGTCAACACCGTCTAGCAACTACGTTCTGTATTACTTATAAAAGTGCAAAGATTAATAGATTGCAGATATGAAAATTATATAAGTGACATACTGCCTGTTATGCTTGCGCATCACTGAGAATTATGTCGCGGTTACGCATCTTCAATTACATTGTGCTGTAGCTTTGTCCGGTAGGCATCACGAGCTATCAAGTGTTCAAGTTTCAAGTACGTAAGAGTTTTTTATTATATATGTTAAATCGTATTTATTTGTATCGTATTAATAGATCTGGATCAAAGCGTTCGCTGTAAATTTTCCCGGATTTGATCCCCGACAGCACGAATGAAATTTGTAATTGCAATTTTCGTCAACACGCATTGGGGAAGCACGGCGGGAATTTCCTTGCCCTAAAACCCTCTCAGAAATAAAAAAAAGAGTCCTGTACCCAGTAGAGGGACTTGTATAGCCTATTACTTTACTTTGTAGCAATATTTATATTCGTTTCAGATATAGAAGGGTACCTTATGCTGACAAAAATATCATGTGGAGGCGACGAAAACGTAAAACATCTTTGTATCTAGATAAAACGTTCGAAAGATTATCAGTCATGTCATACGTCACATTTTCTATAGAGCGTAGAGCATTGCAGATACGGCAAAATAAAAAATAATCCAAAATATTATGGGAACTATTTATTAATAATATATACATTTATAGGTATTAATAATGTTTTTTGTAAACACAATCGTAAAATTCCTGTTTTAATTTTTACCAATGGTTAATTGATGAAACCTAATCAAGATCACTTCATATAAAATATATTTATGATAAAATATATTAGTGATTTAAAATTTCTTGCAACTTTTTATAGAAAAGCATGACCTTATCATTTAGCCATGTGATAAAACTTTTAAGTGTGCCAGTCAAACATTAATGATGATATTCAGGTCATTATACTGGAAATAGTCTTTTAAATATTTTGTAGTACAATTGATAATCTTCAGTATGATTGACCGTGTATATGACTATTATAATTCTATGTTATTTTTGATGAAAATTATTATTGCAGATAAAAGCCCTTTCACATTTATTTTAGTCTCGAATTAAATTAATCAAAATGAAAATAATAACTTTGGCTCTTTATAACTGATCTTTAAATGTAAAACACTGACTTGAAATTATATAATAATTGGCATTTTTTTCATTCATTGAACTTTTATAAGATTTTGTTGAAACTCTACTGGTAAAAAAAAACAAATATATATATTATAGTTCTTGATGAAAATAATGCTACGGCCCATACACATCTACATCTATTCTCGATTCCGTATAAAAATGTAGATGCGTTGTCACCCGTGAGGACTAAGATGTAATGCCTCGTTTCCAGTAAAAAGGTTCTCCGGTTCTCTACACTCACCATACGAAACACAGCTGGGTTAAACTGCTATTTTACATGTTATTCCGTGAGAGCGTGGCCCTTTCCCAGTCGAGCCGACCCATTCGTGCTATAACTATACCTATTACTAATATAGCTGCAGCATGGCGTAAGAAAAAATTGACGTTGAAAATTTAAGTATTTTTAGAAGCAACTTCGCAATTTTATTTAGTATAAAATTATTTTCTATTGAGTTAATTTTTGTGGAATAGTGTTTTGCAAACCGCCACCTGAAATACGTATAATGTTTTTTCGATAATGACGTGAAATTACAAAACGATCCCCATGCATTTCAATGTGGCTCTATTCAGCCTCTTAATAAGAACATACCTCGGGATTCAGAGATTTTAAAAGTTTTCATGCGTAGATAATGGAAGATATAATATTATATTATTACTGTCCCGTGTGAGGCAACTTTTATACTTATATTATTATACTTATATTTTCATCATATTTTTATGGTTGGTTAGAAAAATTATATCTAAATACAAACTTTCACAGGGTAAATTGTGTGTGTGTGTGTGTGTGTGTGTGTGTGTGTGTGTGTGTGTGTGTGTGTGTGTGTGTGCGTGCGTGCGTGCGTGCGTGCGTGCGTGCGCGCGTGCGCGTGCGCGTGTGCGTGCGCGTGTGCGTGTGTGTGTGTGTGTGTGTGTGTGTGTGTGTGTGTGTGTGTGTGAAGAAAAGCGTATGAGTATACGTGAAGAGGAATAAAGGTTGAGTACTAATTCGCTTACCTGTATGAGGTTGCCACTCGAGGACCTTTCTTCCTATTTTTGTCTGTTTTCCAAGTTATATAGCTAGCCCATTGCCATTTCACTGTA